CACTAGTCTCAGGTGCTCCTTTTTTAAATCTCGATCCACATAGAGCTCCTACTCAGCGGCAGACTGCAGACGGAGAGAGGGGGGGGGAGAGAGGGAGAGAGAGAGAGAGAGAGATTTAGAGATGGGAGGCTTTCATGTTTGACGTTGTTTTAAACATTTCACAGGTAAGAGAGACAATGATTAAAATCATCTTCAGAACTCTGCAAACTCCCACAGGCACTCATGAGAAACAAAAACATCGAGCAGAGAAATGGAGAGAAACACATCCCGTCTGAAGGTCAGAGGAGAAGAGGATGCAGACGTGTTAGAGAGGAGAAGGGAGCAAAGGGAGAATCATGGGTCAGTGATCAGGTCTCATTTGTGTAGATGTCAGATAATTAGCTGAGTAATCATCCTCAGAGATGTGTCATGGATCATATACACACTATGAAGTGTGTGTTGAGCTCTAATAAAATCAGAGGGTGTGAAATTAGACAGAGAGACAGACATTTAACGAGGAGCAGAGACGGATATATTCGGTTAATTTCGGCCTTGTGTGGAATTAATTATTGGTGAGTGTGTGAGTCATCGGCTGTGGGAGATGACAGAGATTATTCTCTGACCGCAGCCTCGCACAAAACTGATTTGAAAGTCTCCATGAAACAGGACTGTGAGAGTATCTGACTGCCCTGTGGGGCATAGATTGAGTGATGTCACCCGTCTGTTCCTGCAGGGGGCTCTGGAGGCTCATCAGCAGCAGCCGCCATGTTGGAAACGCTGTCTCAGTCTAACTTTCAGTCAACCTCACGACAGACTGAGAGCTGGAGCTGAGGCGGGTTTTAAGCCTTTTGATGAACCGTTACACTGCGCCCACCTGTCAATCAGGTCACATGCCTAATGATGGATTATAAAAAATGCACCCCCCGCACAGTGTGTGCCCATTATAACAATAACTAATCATTTTGTTTTTTTTGTACCAGGCTGTAAACATGTTTATTTATGCTGTAAAAACTTCCTTTTTAGAATGGGTGTGTATGTGACTTCTGGTACTTCCTGTGCATCCAGCCTCTAGTGGACACTCGAGGTACTGCAGATTGATTTTTGCACTTCAGTATTAGCTTCATTTTTCAACACTTAAGGTTGCCGCTTCTCACGGGCAGTATTTCAATCTGAAACGGGATAGAACCAATCACAAGATAGAAGGTGGGACATAGTGTTGAGAGGAATTTGATTGGATCGTGAGTCCTCAGACATTTGAAACATTTTATAGGAAGAGAAAATACAGATATCTCGATGTAAAAATATTCAGATATTGCTTTATTCAAATATGTATTCTCTATTTCATGGGGACTTTAAAGAGATGATATCCAGCTTTATAAGAGCCTGAGTAATACTTTAGACTTTTATTGTTTAAATGTTTCACAGGCTTTTCCCTCAGTCTGCTGTACTGATTTTCTGAAACACTTTGCATCAAACACTTGGTAAAATCTAGACGATGAGCTTCCACCACTTTTGGTCCAATCAGTGTTGATCATGTTGCAGTCGACTGACTGAACACACTTCGCTTCAGCAACAGCGACAGAGAAAGAAAGCACACTGCCTGAGCATTCACAGAGCGCAGTCTGCAGTGCCTACATGTACCAGGATGCATTGTGCATACCAATGAAGGCTCAGTCTCCATTTTTTATCGACTGTGTGCGTGCTCCAATAAAAACTGCTGCCAGCCGAAACACTGCAAAATATGCCCTCATCCACAAAAGCCTCTACACAAATATTTTCAGATGACATTTTTCTCTGTATGTGGTGCAGTACTGTCGATAGTTTGTCATACACGCTGAGGCGAACACTGAAAATTGGAGGTGAAATAGCCTATAGAGCTTCAAGGGCCCAAAATATATCGAATGACGGAGCTGATGCCAGAAGAAAAAACAGATTTTTACAGCTGCTCCATGCAGACACAGAGAACACTGGAGACGACTGCTGCCCTTTTTATCCTCACAGGCAGAGACAGAGACACTTTTTCTGTTTCATTATCTGTAGTCAGAGTTCTTTTTTGTAATGTTTGTCTTACGATTTGTTCAAGTACATGGACTTGAGCTTGTGTAGTTCTTTTCTAGTCTTCTGACAACTCAAAATTTTACACCGCTGGTCACACCTACACATTCACACACTGATGGTAGAGGCTGCTGTGTAAAGACTTCATCAGAAGTAACTAATCCACATTCACACACTGATGGTAGAGGCTGCTGTGTAAAGACTTCATCAGAAGTAACTAATCCACATTCACACACTGATGGTAGAGGCTGCTGTGTAATCCACATTCATACGCTGCGGACGAAGCTGCGGGAGCAACTTGGGGTTCGAACCCCCGACCTTTTGGTAAGGACACGACAGACTCTGAGCCACAGCCGCCCACGAGGTCTCATCAGGTGATGCATCCAGGTGCACATCAGATTATGAAGTGGAAATCTTTCAGTTCTGTTATATATTATACTGCCAATAAGTGCAATTTCTAAGTTGTTCTTTTGAAGAAAAAAAAGGGAGATTCACGCTTCAATGTACAAAAACTTCAAACTTACGACACTTTTGGACAAATGGCTTTATGTCTATTCATTCTTCTTTTTAAAGATTTTTTTTTTATCAATTAATTTCCCCCTTTATTTATAGGACAGCCGAAGAGAAATGCAGCATCTGGGAAGGGAGATCAGAGTGACTCAGACATGCAGCAGAAGGGCTGTGATATCCAGGACTGTAGCCTCTCTATACGGGGTTCATGTATTTAGAGCTGAGCCCATCCAGTGATCCATCAAGATCCAATTCAGATGTTTGCCTCTTCTTCAGCTGAGATTAAAATTGCTCCTGAGACGTAAAATATTCATGTCCTCCATTATTTACATTCTGCATTGGCTTTGTCACATGAGAGCTGCTGCCTTGTTAATGTTATGTGGTCATATTTCTCAACACACACACTCCATTAAACACTGATCAGCTGGGAATGAGTAATGACACACTGACAGCTGCACTAAATAGAGCAGCACTAAGAAACACGTTTCCTTAGCTGTATTTTCTCTGTTCCGTCAGCAAATCAGAGGATTGAAGCTTTTATTTGGGACGCAAAGAAATCCGTCCATTCTTCTTCACAAGGTCAAGCCCTCTATTAGCAGGTCGATGCAGTCTCTTCTACACTCCGTCAATAGCTCTTTATCTGCTGAGAGGGTCGCTGCTTAGAAACGGACGGAGAGATGACCTCCCACTCAGCAAGGTGAACTCATCTGATATACCGGTCATCTGATCGAGGGCTAATATGTTGTATAGCTGCCACACCTTAAAGACCAGACGGATTCAAACAAACACTAGAGATACAAACAAATGGCAACATTTATGTTTGATATGAGCATGTCGGGATGTGGTGTATGTTGGGATGTGGTGTATGTCAGACTGTGGTGTATGTTGGGATGTGGTGCATGTCGGGATGTGGTGTATGTTGGGATGTGGTGTATTTCAGACTGTGGTGTATGTTGGGATGTGGTGCATGTTGGGATGTGGTGTATGTTGGGATGTGGTGTATGTCAGACTGTGGTGTATGTTTGGATGTGGTGTATGTCGGGATGTGGTGTATGTTGGGATGTGGTGTATGTCAGACTGTGGTGTATGTTGGGATGTGGTGCATGTCGGGATGTGGTGTATGTTTGGATGTGGTGTATGTTGGGATGTGGTGCATGTTGGGATGTGGTGTATGTTGGGATGTGGTGTATGTCAGACTGTGGTGTATGTTTGGATGTGGTGTATGTTGGGATGTGGTGCATGTTGGGATGTGGTGTATGTTGGGATGTGGTGCATGTTGGGATGTGGTGCATGTTGGGATGTGGAGCATGTTGGGATGTGGTGCATGTTGGGATGTGGTGTATGTCGACTTGTGGTGAGTTTGGATGTGGTGTATGTGGATGTGTGTATGTTGGATGTGGTGTATGTTTGGATGGGATGTTTGGATGTGGTGTATGTTGGGATGTGGTGTATGTTGGGAGGGTTATTGGGATGTGGTGCATGTTGGATGTGGTGTATGTTTGGATGTGGTGTATGTTGGATGTGGTGCATGTTGGGATGTGGTGCATGTTGGGATGTGGTATGTTGGGATGTGGTGCATGTTGGGATGTGGTGTATGTTGGGATGTGGTGCATGTTGGGATGTGGTGCATGTTGGGATGTGGTGCATGTTGGGATGTGGTGTATGTTTGGATGTGGTGTATGTTGGGATGTGGTGTATGTTGGGATGTGGTGTATGTTGGATGTGGTGTATGTTTGGATGTGGTGTATGTTGGGATGTGGTGTATGTTGGGATGTGGTGTATGTTTGATGTGGTGTATGTTGGGATGTGGTGTATGTTGGGATGTGGTGTATGTTTGGATGTGGTGCATGTTGGGATGTGGTGTATGTTGGGATGTGGTGCATGTTGGATGTGGTGTATGTCGGGATGTGGTGTATTTTGGATGTGGTGTATGTT